GACTTAAAAACAAACTTCCTGTAGTATTAGCAAGGCAGCCGAACTTTTCAGCACTCAAGTGTATATCTCTTAACCAAATGTCGACCATCACTCTGAAGTTTGCCGGGGATCCTCTCTCCGTTCTTCGTTTGGCTTCAGTAGAGTTATTAATGCGAAAGTGTTAACTGTCCCATACAGTGAACCGACGTGATCAGATTTGAAGCCACGCCAAACGGCCCCTTCCCCTGTCCCAATCTAGCCTGTAGCAGAAATATGATGGATAGGCTCCCACTGGCTCATGCGTCATCAAGGAACGAGGCTCCCATTGGTTCTCGTGTAGCGTAGTTCCAAAAAAAATAGGCCGCACCTCCCCCCTACAAAAATATGTATGGACGTCCTATGTCCATACTTTTTCCGTTCTATTACCCCTTTGTCCATCCTATGGATTCCTGTAGACAGTTCTTAGACCGTCTATGTACCACTGGTTTGCCACAGAATGGCCACAACAACGCTATTAGCCCCGAGAGCGAACACAAGCGTCGCTGCGGTCGCCGCGCCCTGATTGGGTGAGGTGTGCCGTGACGTCAGGGCGATGACTCGGCTTCGCGATCTCGCATCGGCTCGCTTCCCAGCACCGGTTTCCTGGTTTGGCGTTGTGCGCCGCAAGCTCTTCGAGGATCTCGACTTTGCTTCCCGGTGTACAAGACGTTGGGTTAGGCCGATACTGACGTGCTTCCGTGCATTTTATAAGCCTGCTTGTCCCTCTTACCTTTAAAATTGGGTTACAAATCCCGAAAGCTATCGGCGGAGGCAATTCCGCCGAAGAATCTCCCCGTCCGTTTACACGTACGACACAAGGCAATTTTGCGAGGGATCGGTGAAGCGGTGGCGCAAGTGTTTCAGACGCTGGAATTCTGTTCCTTGCATGTTCATGATTTAGGACGATATTACATCCAGTTTTCAAGGCATTTGAAGTGGCATTTATATCATGGGCCTTTGGCATGGTCGGCAAATTAGCTCGCTACCCCGACTTTGCGCTGCCACTCTGCATGCGCTGGTTCGCTGATGTTTTAAAGGCTCTGTGTCTGATTATCTTTGAAGTGCCCGTGGAACAGGGTTGTTTTACATAAATGTAGCTTCTTCGTGAATTAATTATATAGTTTATACACGTATGCAGGCATATTTCTTAGAAGATGCACAATTACTGGAAATTAGTTTGTATGGTAGCAGCAAAAACGGCCGAATTGCCCCCAGTTGCCTATGTGTATCGAACTGCCTAAAATGTGCACAGCAATAGTGCCGTAATTTGGAATGTTTATACTTTTTCCTGACATTTTTATTCCAGCCTTGGGTATTCGCCAAATACACCGTTTAGTCTGAATTGTCATTTACAAATAAAAGGGACACTGCTGCAGGTCTCCAAAAGCTTCCTCAGCCTCCAAACTCCCTACAGCTGGACTCTCTGACAACAGAGGAAAACAGGAGTAAAAGCAAGCATTCGAACGTCTGTCCAGCGGTAAATGCAGCGCTAGTAGCAGAAAATATGAAACCTGTGAAAGGCGACGGTCTGCGTGAGAAAAGGTTTTGGTATTTTAGCTTCAGGACAATTCGATTTAAGTAAAATCTCAATTTTAGGGCTTAAGAGACTAATAACGAGCTAGACACCTTCGTTTATGTTTGTTATACATTACTTGGGTTGATATAAACAAGACCACAGATACCACCCGTGTAGTCCATTGAAATACTATCCGAATCCAGCAAAGGACAAATGCGAGCAATGTATATAACAAATGTTCCTTGTTTTTTTACTTTGCGCCTGCACTTGGGCAGGGGCAAAGTACTTGGGATTCTCTCCCAATGGCCCAGACTGTATTTAGCATGTTGCTCGACCAGCATGCAGATGCTCTGCTTCGGTGATGTTTGTTTAAAAGGAAAGGTACAAAACAAATAGTATACATAACCTGCCAATTCATTCAGACCATCAGCAGCATTTATTGTGCGAGATGTAAATCTATAGTGATGCTCCTGCAATTGTGGCCATATTTCTTTATTTTCATATACCAGCTGCGATTCATGCGTTGCCTGCCCTGTCAACCATGCTTGAAATGTTGCTTGAAGATTCGCCTGTAGATACAGGCCATACCTCAATAAAGGCACGTATAAACATTTACACTTCCTACGAAAAACAAGCCAAAAAAAAATTAAATAGAAACGAGCGCGCCGACAGCTAGCGTCGTCACAGCCTCCACAGGACGAACGGGCCGAGTCGGGGAAAAATTCTCTCCTCGCCGTGACGTCACCCCGGTTTGCTGTAAGGGGGCGCCACGCGAACTTCTCGGGGCTAATAGAGATCTTCGCGAAAGACAAAGTTTTTCATTCCTTCCTATTTACGTTCTATGGTCCCGGCGAGTCTATGAACATCCTATTGCCTCTCTATGGTGTGAGCTATATATTGGTGCATTAATAAAGTGATGCCGGGTAGACGTTTTCTTTAGGTGTAGCAAGGTGTCCGAGTTAAAGAGTTGTTAATTAAGTTCCGGGTATAAAAATGTTACATTGATGTCTGGAGGCATATCCAACCTCAGGGTATATTCATTGTGGAGATGGAAGTGTTTAGTATGTGCCGGAATAATGTTTTTACTTTCTCAGTGGGAGGTAGATATATGTGGGTCGCTGCGGCACCCGTAGATATTCGCAACTTTCACAGCCCATAGGGGGCGCACTGGTGCCTATCGAAATTGCGGTCATCTGGATGATCGTCGTAAAACAGCGGTATACTAGGCTGGGTCTGCGCGCGACGCGTAAGTAATTCTAGTTATGCTGTATACGCGCAGTATCAAAACCTTACTTTATGTGTTTTTTTTCACGTCAGGAAAGTGTAGGCAAGCCATTTTATTATGAGGCCAATCATCCAGAAGCTAGGGAGTGCGATTCTCACACCGCGGTACCACCATCGGTTAAAGTGGCTTCTCTATGGACCCCTTAAGGACTCCGTGCAGACCCTGTATGGCTTCTCTGCAGACTCCATAAGGAGCCCCTGTAGACCCTGTATGTCTTCCCTGTGGACTCTATATGGCTTCCCTGTGAACCCCGTACGTACTCCCTATAGACCTTGTATGGCTTCTTTGTACACTCCTAAGGACCCTACACTCTTTAAAATGACTTTTACAGAGCACGTTTTTGCGTAAAAACAAATGGGAAAAAGCTCTTTTTGTAGAAACTTTTATTGGAGATAGTACAAAGTGACAAGGGCGTGATGTTTGCTTACACTTTTAGGTTACAGGGTTTTGTGGCACAATTAATATTTCTTTTTACAGCCATGCCGCACCGGCGACTTCAGGTAGCGCGTTTTGACTTGGGTGCGTCCTAACTTCTTTTGCAATTCGAGGCGCGTCCGCCTGGGAGATGGGGGTTGGCATCCGTGAAGCCCCTCTTCTACCGTATTTGTTTCGGCGCCAAAGTGGCCGATTAAAGCCAAAGCAGAACAGTTACATGCTGTCGAATATCGATAGTCCCAAACCAGCAGACGTGGTCGTGCAGTAATCCGAGTGGCCGCTGCGGGTGGAATGGTGGCGTTGCGATCGCAATTAGTTCGGTTTTCGAGTACAGATCGGTGCCGCTTTTTCAAAGCAAGCTCTTTAGCGTTTCCCAACTGACTTGCTCTAGAAACGTTGGTCGGTGCGGACCCCGTAGCCGACCCCCTGCAGACTGAGTGGCTTCTCTGCGGACCCTGTAGGGACTCCCTGTAGACCTTGTATGGCTTCTCTGCAGACCCCATGAGGACCCTGTATAGACCTTGTATGGCTTCCCTGTGGACTCCCTAGGGACTCCTTGTAGACTTCGTAAGGGTTTTCTGGAGGCACCCTATAGACACCGTAAAGACGCAGTGTAGACACCCTATAGAGTCCCTATGGACTCTAATAACGTCTTACCATAGAGAGGGTATAGAATGACCACACAACAACCATAGAATAGGACGTCCATAGAACGTCCGTTGGCCATTATCCCATAGAGCAGCCATAGGACGACTTCACGGAGGCAACGGAGGTCGTGGTCTGCCTATAGACGCCTTTTGTTCTGCCTATGGACGCTGCTCTATAGAACGTCCTAGAAGTGTCCATACATATTTTTGTAAGGGCCACGTGGTGAATGATTTTTTTTTTTAGGCGAAGCTCTGGTGGTGCTATTGATACTGATTTTATTGTTCATAGGTAGCGCTGAGTTCCGGGTTACGTTTCGACTTCATTATTACTGCTTTATGGTCGGTGAAATGCAGAGCCAGTGGTTCTTCTAGCGGATCAGCTTGGATCCGCTAGAAGCCGTGGGAACGCATCTCCACCGCTTAAGTAGTCAACGGTCGATGTCAGAAAGAGCGTGTGTGGTACGGAACGTGTTTATAGAAATGCATTTGAAATGCATTTGAGCATTTGACCGCAGCGCCCTCTCGTCTATAAACGTTGAGCCAATGCGTGCAAAGTTTAACGCGATTATATACGCATTTGACCGCAGCGCCCTCTCCTGTATAGACGTTGAGCGGCTGCATGCAACGTTGGAGTTTAGCGTAGTGGTTGAGACGTCTGCCTCGTAAGCAAGCGGTCCTGAGTTCGAACCCCCGTGCGGGCGTACGTGTTTTTTTTTTTTTTTTAAGTGGGCCGATCCCGGAGGCAGTGCAATCGATCTGAGCACGGACGCCGGTCGGATGGACAAGGCTAGACCCTAAGGAGCTTCGCCCCTAAAAAACGCCACAAGAGAAGCCCTCTTTATTGCGGCGCAGCGCACGCAGCGGCCCGGTCGCCGGTAAAAGGAGCGGCGGTGCGGGCCTGGCCGCAGAGCCCGCACGGGCAGACTCCGGAGAGGGTGCGTGGACGAGCTCAGCGCGAAGAGGCCACTTGGCGAGAGCGCGCGCTCGGCCGTCGATCGGCGAAACGTGGCCGTCCACGCCGCTACGCCGCAGACGATCTAAGGTAGCGGAAGAACGATATTCATGCTTTCGCATTCACAACTCATAAGAAGTCCTTCGGTCTCACTGAAATTTTTATTCCACTCAACTTGCAAATGAATTCGGACCCACTCATTTTATTTATGATTGTAACACCGTTTTTTTTTTAACTCGATGAAGCAGCCTTGATTTGACTGCCGGATTATCGTTCTATTCACAAAGTGACCCGCTCTGCACAAAGGCAGGCACATAGGAATGGACATTGCGTTTACAAACGGCAAGATACATTTTATTACAACATCAGGCTCCAACAATATAAGTCAATTTGACAAAACAAATAGTAAGTAAACGCGCAATGTCTGTTTATCAATACCTATTCTGTAAACAGTAAAAGAAGGGACAGTGTGAGCTGGAATAAAAGGTAAAAGATTTCAAGAAAAAAAAAATGAGAATCATTTTTTGTATGTGGACCTTTGTACCAGGAGGGAATAATATAACGAATTGTTTTCGTTTATAAGAATGAGAACCTATTAAGTTATATTAAACTGCAATAGAGTCGGAAAGCAATGACTGAAAAGAAAGCTGTAATTTTCAGAATTACTCTTATGTCAGGCTCATACCTCAAAGTTTACTCCAGTTGTCCAACCTAGCGGCCTTTGTAGTGCCTCTGAATATTTTTATACTTAACAAATCACGTTGCTGTTCACTGTTTGCATTCTAAAAAAAAAAAACAAAAAAAAAACCTTTAAACGTCTTTTATTAGCGAATTGAACTAAACTCAAAATTTTACCTTGGTTAGAGTGCTTAGCAATCGTTCGCACGCGGCATGAACATTTTTGTTCATAATATACTTACAACACGTACTTGGCTGCTATATCAAATTAATATAATAAAGGAATAAATTTTGAGATCGGGAGGTGCTTGAAAGAGTGTTAGGCTACAACATCAGCGCTCTGAGACAGTAGGAAGAAGCATGTTAAAATAAACAAAACATAAAATATGAAAGAACATTCGCCTATACCTCGCCATCTACAGACCACCAGTGAAGCGCCAGACAAAAACCGTCTTGCAACTAATCAGTGCGCGTTGCACCTCCGTCCCGAAACAGCAGGCAAAGAAACTATTAACAGTCTGTGCTTCAGATCCTCGACAGCAACTACCGTTTTTATAGTGCCCGACTGTTCACGCTTTTACTTTCAGTTTTGTGCACCAAGAAGCGCGACATATTCAAAGAAAAACTTGGTAGAAGTAATATTTCCACTTCCTCGTATGTTGACATTCGCAACGCGGTAGTTGTTCTGTGCCCTCGGTATATACAACAAAACGGAGCAGGTAACATAATACAACGCCAAAAAATAAAAATCCCCCCACCAAAAAAAAAAAAAATCTGCTCGCCGAAATAAATTTTGAATGCAGACTACGTCCTTAAACTTCTGTAGCTGCGGGATATAAACTGTACAATAAAAAAAAGTCCTGTTCAGAGCAGCACAACGGAAACGGTAGCAACGCGCAGAGAATTTAGGAAACCGGTGCATCTCAAAACAACAGAATGCAAACGTTGATGCAGCTCATACACTATCAGAAACAGTCCTGATCAATGATTGGAATCCGTTCTGGTCAATGATCATCGCCTTTTTTATCTTACATCTCGACGACATTCTAATTGATGAGGCCGGGCACTCGATGGCTTGCGGTTGATCACGTCAGCGTACACCTCCCCTCCCATATCGAATGTCCCTTGTCTCCTTCACGTGCTGCAGGGGAACCCAGTGGGTGGCGAGGCATAGGAGAACAACAGGATCCCTGGCGTGGGTCCGCCGGTTGGGTTTCGCGCCCGGCCGCGGCATGGCATCTTCACTTGCGGCCGAAGCAGGACACGGCGTTGAACGAACACTGCTTCCAGCCGCTCCTTTTCCTCTGTAGCTCAGTCGGGATCTCTCCGTCGCGCTGCAGTTGCGCCTGGCGCGACATCTGCTTGGCCATAAAGTAGTTCCAGAGCATGTTCTCCAGACTGATGCCGTTTCCGCCGGTGCCGAGGCCCACGCCGCTGCTTCGTACGCCACTCTCGTCGGCTACCTGCGATCGAAAGACAGAAAAGAAAGTAGCCATTATTGAGCCAAAAGTCGGGGCGCAAAGTATCCATTCGCGTGTCTAATCGTCCTTTGCTTACCCACCATTTTGGGGTCGCGTTAGTCTACCAATTAGTACAATGTCCCCTTAAGTTATTAATGCGAAGGCATTAACTGTCTCAGGAGCGAGCCGACGTCATCAGCTTTTAAACCAGTCAAAACGGCACCTTAATGACACCACGCGCATACTAGCCAACGGCACCTTTTCTACTTCGGTCCCATTGGCTGGCGCGCGTCGACGAGGCTCTCATTCACCGCTGCGCGTCAGTTTGTGTGGTGTCATCCTGGCTGTGTTATCACACTGTTGTGTTACCACTGATCACCGCGTCCGCTCGCCTGTTATCGTTTGTACCACGCGCGGCAACATATACGGGGCATGGAATAAACCAAGGGGTTCGTTCTGCTGGAAGCTACGTTGCTGTCTGTTCCTTCCTCGCGCCGCAAGGCACATGACCGTTTGAATGATCGCTCACTCGATGGCGCTGCGCGTCCGCGAGGCAGCGGCTCCACTGTTCCACGCCCGAGGTCAGCGCGTTGTACGCCGCAGAATAAAGACGGGAGCGAAGAGCGGCGTGCGTGATTTCGCATTTACAGCTCGTAGGAAGTGCTTAGGTGTACTCGAGCCTATTTATTAGAGCGCACCTCTTAGGGGCCCGTTTCCAGCCTGAGCGGCGTCGGCGTCGGCGTAACCGGGGGGGGTCACGTGACACCCCCCCCCCCCCCCCGAGATCAGGTGACCCCCCGCAGGTGACGTGACCCCCCTTAGTACCCTTCCCTACTCCTCAAGAGCTGCGCTCCGATTCGGCGTTACAGGGATTTGTAAACGGCTTTCATTTTTTATTCCCTGATCGTTACTTGAAAGTTGTACCAGTCCAGGTGGTTCTTGTACAGTGCCCTAAATGACTGTAATACATATCTAGTTAACGTAACAAGTGGCATGCCACACTGCATGTTCATAAGGATATAGTGTTTCAGCGGGGACTGACAAGGGACCAAATTACTCGTGGTGGTGGGAGTCAGCAAATGCGCGATACCTACTAATTTGTTCGCAAATTAGTTATTAATTACTAAATAACTTCTGGTTAGTAAAAACAGACGTACGTTTCCATTAGAAACTTGCTTAGTGTAATCGAGAAACACTAAATTAGTAATTTTAAGAAATACTTTGAGCACGTGGGAAGCGTTGTAGTGCGCTCAAGTTATCACTCATGGAGCAGGTACAAGGCTGGGGCTCTGATAGAAGACAGAAATATTGCGCGGGCGCCTTATCGCACCCGCTAGCTTTAGTGGATTTTGATGACGCCAAGCAAGTGCCCAACTAAAACCATATGTCTATTTTCACTAATTAAAAAGCTAATTAGTCATTTTTAATTATTTGGCGAACTAATTAGTAAGTATAACGCATTTCTGATGTCCGCCACCACGAGTAAAGCGGTCCCGAGGAAATTATGTTTTTACCGCGAATACATTAATTTTAGCATTTTATGTGAGTCTTCCTACCCGGTAAAATATATTTCTGTATAAAGTACGAAATTCATTAAATCTTCATAGAGTTTTCAGAGGAATCCTATGTGTGCCAGCTGGTGTCACTATTTTGTCTGGTGCTTTAAATGCGCATTACATTGTCATTTCAAGAAACAAATGCAGTACAGTGTCATTACAAAGCGGCCATGTGAGAATGTGGAGAGGATGCAGCGGAGAGGCGTAAAGAGGAGAGGGGGGGCTTGTGAGTATAGTAACTTTCAAGTTACTCTTCCTACCTATTCTGTGCACAATACGGTATTCTTAGTAATTAAGAAGAGCCGTCTTTTTAATGCTAAGTTTTAGTAGACCGCAAACATGTTTTTACATAGTCTAGCCAAAATTGTATCATTCATCAATTTACAAGTACGATTTTTTTATATAACCTCTAGGAAGCGCAACAATAACGCTACGTGAGAGCTCATGCGCGACGGATAGATATAAATGGTCACGACCTTGATTTATTCCTTTTGCTTTTTGATGTTTATTTGATATGAACGGTTTGGGGCATACACCGCTAAAAGCTGAAATCTTTTTGCCTCCCGTCGTAAACCGATCGGGCCGTGAGAATAAAATGGAGCGTTATACAGCGATGCATTACTGAAGCAATTCTCTCCGGAACCCTCGAAAAGTCGGCGAAAACGAGGCGCCCAGCATGCATAGCCACAACACGCCGAGCACGAACATAATCCCCTTTACTGGTAAGAAATATATATTATTTCTCACATTTGTCTTTGCAGTAAAACTGTCCAACGGCATTTTCTAACGTGCAAAAATGCAATAATAAAATGTAAATAAGCCATATGATTTAAATTGTGGTAAATGATGTAAGATCATTCTTTAAAAGAAAAATAATGTGGCAACGCAAATAAATTTTTGAAAGCATGATTTAAGTAATCCAATCTGAGGGTCTAATACTCCGCCCTGACTTTCAAGCACACTGTTTGTAATCTGCGCAATTCAAACCCAACCCCAGACGTTTTCTTCTAGCTTGGGTTAGTGTTAAAACAAATATTGTGTTCTTCACGTAAATTAATTAATCAGGATGTAAAGATATCATTTTAACTGCGTGATTTTTAATGTTTTAAATGGGAGTATGTAATCCCAACAAGGTTCGACAGGTTCGGAAACTGACGGCTCTAAATGTGACAACCTTGTATTCAAGTCGCGCATTCTTAACTGCTACGAGAAGGGATATTATGAAAAGACACTTTGTATAAACCGTACTTTCAAATTCGTAAGCTTACCTTAACAAGATCATTCAAATATAATTATCGTTCAGTATTGGACCAAACGTTTTGTTTATGATTCGTGATATGCAATCTACAAAGCTAAAGATATTGTTTGGTCACTCTCAGCTTTGCCATTGAAACATGGAATTGCTTAGTACTTTGTAAATTAGCATAAAAACGTCTAACTACAAAATATGGCAATTAATTGGTTTCGTTAAACGAATCACTTTCTGCATTTATGGTTGCAAGGATAAAACTAATTGCCGTGCGGAGGGATATTTCTTGACATCTGAAACGTTTTATCTGGTTTTCTATAACCATGACTAGAACAAAAACGACAGAAGTACAGACAAAAACAAAACAGATATTGTTTCGCTTTCTATGTGAATTTATTCCGGTGCGTTCATTTCATTGCATGCCAGAACAGGTTCAAACAGGACCGAAAGGGGCTAGGCTTTCCCTCCAACTATAAATCTGTAAACACAGAGAAGCGTTGTTTTTATTCTCAAATTAAAGTGCCGCCAGAAACCTAATGTATTCCGAATCTTTATGTTAAACCAATGTCTGCTAGAAACGCTAAACCATATAAAAAAATCTAGCATCGGATTATAAAAGGAAATGTGTTTAAAAAGCAGATCCTACAGTTGCGATGACTGAGTAAAACAAAATTGCCTGCGACAGTTATCCCCAAAGTTCTGGGATACATAAAATACAGTGTTTAAGGAACCATTTGTTAAATTTGATTAGAATACATTAAACAGCCGTTTCGGGGAGTGAAAATGCATTGGTGTCTTGTCAGACCACTAATGTCGCCTTTTGCACTAATGACCTTTCCCAAATCCCCTCCCCTCCCTCTTTGAAAAAAAAAAAAAATTAAACTGAAACTTATATTTTATGATTTTCTCCTCTACATTTAGCTCTGAAACTGAGAAGATGAACATGTCACGTTATTTAAATTTTCCCTCTGAAAATAGCGGGAAAACTGAGGATACTGAGTTAAATTGTTGCCAAATAAGGAGCTCGGTGTTCTAATAAACCCTTTCCTAATGAAACCTTGGAAAAATTCCGCGATCTGAGCTTCCACTTGTTAAAACCACGCGTTTTGAAGGGGAAGCGAGCGGAGCTTCACCAGGTAATCGTTAGCGCACGAAAGGTTATTCCGAATAAATTGAATGAAAAAGGAAGCAATAAACTTTTAAAATTCTCGATGTGGCAGAGTGCCTAAAACCTTATTCGATAAACCTCCATAACTTGGGCTTTAGCACCACTGCCTTCTAGAGTGAGTGCGCCATGTGGCCGTCTTTGAGCACACTAAAAACAAGAGGGGGCTGACAAAAACCTGAGATAACTTTTGCCTTACATTACTACTATTCTGCTTTGCCCTAGATTGTCTTTCTTATTTTCTGTGCAATATCGTATCGTCGATTATTGGATCGACGATACGATGATGGACATCAGCTGCTATAGTGTATAGTTTGACGTCGATTTGCTGGGTAGTCCATATTAGGACAGTACACATTATCCGGTGTAAATATAAAATAAATTCGATTATATTTGATGATATGACTTCAGAGAATAGTATATTCGATAATGATGGCAAGTTGGGCTAGTTGGTTACTCATCCCTGGACAATACGGCAAAATAACAAGGGCAGTACGAAGGAAGGTCTGAAGACTATAAAGAATTGGACAATACGTAGGAAGGAAGATCTCGAGCATTGGGGTCACTAGGGTCCGCTGCACTCGGGGTGGAGGCCGGCGGCGACACCGTCCCTCCCCTCCCCCTCATTTCACTGCCCAACTGCACACCCCTGAGCACTGCACCTGCGGGCGTCCCCCTCCCCCCCTCCCCCTATAGCGGCGCCAGTGGTCTGTAGACCTGTCCAGAGCTTCTTTCGTATTGTCTGTGCTTTTCTGGCGTATTATCCAGTGAAGAATATTCGATATGGGAAGAGGGAATAGAAACGCTCCAAATCGCGTACGATCGAAATCGGAGATCCTGATTGATCTGTTTATAACTAAGTCTCATAACCTACAACTAAATTCTAGTATAATAACCTGTGATTTGAGAGACCATCTTCCCCTATTGTGTGTAGAGACGACTTCACTTAAAAATGCGTATAACAAGTGCGAAGTATATTTCCAATGCGTAACCTTAGACAAGCTAGATGCTTTCCGCCAGTGCATTTCGAATG